GGTGCATGGCTGGGGGGGAGGGGGGGGAGTATGGGGGTGTCCCTCACCCCCAGGGACGTCCTGACGGAGGAGAGCTTGAAGAGGACTCGCCGCCACTCCTCGGGACACACGGCGCGCAGCTCCGCCGAACTCATCTCCAGCAACTGGTACCCCGTCAGCACCCCCAGGCACCGCACCGTGCTGCGGACGGACGGACGGACGGATGGTAAAGGTGGGGGGTGAGCTGGGCATGACACCCTCCCACCCCCCAAAAAAAATGGAGGGTGGCTCAAAGGGGTCCACCTTACATCTTGGAGAAACCCTTGTAGTTGAGCCAGGCTGTCACCTCCGCCGGCGAGGAGTCGGGGTGCAGGTTGGGGGGACTCTCCTGGAGCGGGGGACAAGGGGAAGGGACAAGAAGCGGGGTGGTCCCCTGTCACCTTTTCCTGGTGGTACGGGGAAAGGAGGGGAGAAGGGACACCCACCTGGATGGGGCTGTGCCCCCTCCCCTGCCCCAGCGGCTCCAGGATGTTACTGGGGACGTAGCCCTTCTGTCCCAGACTGTCCTGCACCAGCCACCACTTCTTCCGCTGGTCCAGGACCTAGGAGTGGGTGGTGACAAGGTGGGGATGGCGACAGCACCCTGCTCTCATCCCCTTCCAGGACCCCCCCCCCCGGGTAGGCAGGGTGGGGGTCCTCACTCCATCCTCCCCCATCTCCCCCACGGATGAGACCCTCCCCACACACCCCAGTTCCTACCTGCAGCGTGTCCCCCAGCCTGCTGCTCAGCTCCTGCGGGTTCCTGCCCTGAAACTCGTACAGGGCTCGCGCCATCCCCTGGACGGGGAAGGAGGACCTGGAGATGGAGGGGAGGGGGGGGTACACATGGGGACATCAACATCCAGCTGGGGGGCCCAATCCTGCCCCAACCCTCAGCATCCGTGGGGCAACGGGACCACTTACGTTTGGGCAGGATTGGCCCTCCGGGCGGTGACCGGCGACTGCTCGGGGAGCAGCGGGAAGGGCGGGTATTGAGAGTGAGTTGGGGAAACTGAGGCAGGAGGTGGGATGTCCTGGTTCGCTCCGTGCCATACCTGACCCGCCGGTGGGGGCAGCCACCCGTCGGAGAAGACGGGGATGTAGCGCGGTACCATCTCCCCGTTGGGGTACTCTGCCCTGCGGCGGGCAGGGAGAAAACCGAGGTGGGTGGTGGGAACCCCCCAACGCTCCAGGCTGGACCCTCCAACCTTGGTGTTGGGGGGGGGAATGGACCCCACCTGGTCTGGTTCCAGGCGATGCCGAGGTTCTTCCAAGTTCTGTAGTCCTCCTGATGGAGGGTCTTCTCCAGCAGTTCCACCGCCTCCGGCACCAGCAGCGGTGCCTCCACCGCCGGGGCCAGGCTGGGACTGGGGCAGTGGTCCAGGACCTGCTCCGGGTGGGTGGTGATGGAGCAGCACCCCCATACCTGCCCCCACC